ACACCATCGTCGAAGAAGTTCTTGCAGGCGATGCAGTCGCTCTGTTTCGGTCCTGTGCATCCACCGGCGCAAAAAAGATGGCAACACTCGCGCGGATTCGGCCCGAAGCACCTGCCCTGCCAGCACTGAGGCGAACAGTTCGTCTTCGAGTACTTCTGACAGTTCTCAGGCCCCTCACCCCAGCAGCCTTGCTCGCAGCTCTTATCGCACGCCGGACAGGCTCGCTCCGGCGACGTGAAATTGTACACGTAGAAGTACGTCCCTCCCTGGCTGGTGATTATTTCGTCCCAGTTGATCGTGCGGATGTGGCACAGGTTGTAGTTGTTGTACATGCCCACGCTGCCGTTAAGGATATCTGGGAAAACGACACGTGTGATTTAGCTTAGGCGAACCGCGCCTTTCGCGTTTTAGATTCGTTAATAGGAAGACGGAGAACTGTAGTTTTAATTCTGATTTTATCGATGTCTGCACTGTCTGGCAGAGCAATGTTGACAATATTACTTTAGGAAAATTTTGGGCAATTTTAGAAATACTATTGTACGCAGATTTTGGGAAATTTTAGAAATACTGCTTTAGGCAAATTTGGGGCAATTTTAGGAATACTATTGTAGGCAAATTTTTGGGCAATTTAGAAATACTGTTTTAGGCAAATTTGGGGTAATGTTAGAAATACTATTTTGGGCAATGTTAAAAATACTATTTTAGGCAAATTTTAGACAATATTAAACATATTATTTTAAGCAAATTTTGGCAATGTTAAAAATATTATTTCATACTTTAAGAATTTTGGGGGTTGACGGTTTGACATATTTTTGGGCTTACTAGGGATCGAGCCCTGAGGCAACCATATGTTTAGACGCAACAGACTTAATAGTAAAATTGAAGGTAGTTCTAAATGATACATAAGAATGTTTGCTGTAGTGTTATCTTGTATGGAAATGAATTTTTAGTAGAATTGATCGAAATTGCAAAATGAAGAAGTTCCATTGAATAAACACTTACCTCTGAGGGCCGGCATCTCCAAGTTCTGCATCTGACACATTGTGACGAACAGGGCGAACTCGGCGTCATGGATATTGAGCTTAAAAAGTGTCCTGCCACGTATGATCTGCAATCGCGGCAGAACGATCTTTTTAACGTCCACGTGGCTGATGAGCACGTAACCGGTGACCTCCCGTATATACTGGAGGAAGCTGAGGTCGAATGTCTCGTTCTGGAGCCACGTGATCTCCAGGTTGCCGTCGACATAAGTACAGTTGGTGTACCGGTCTCGAAGATTCCGGTAGTGATGCTGTTTGTTGGACGGAACGGAGAGGCGGCCATTGGTTCCAATGCAAACTGTTACAGAAAATTCATTGCTATTACATTCTCCGAATAACATGTCAAGAATATTCTTAAAATCGAATAACTTAAAGTGGGAATTATTCTTAGCAAAAGTTTGAGCATTTAATACACGATACAAACAAAGAGGGCAAAGACTGAATAATAATATGCTGCGAATGAAGATCCAATTATGCAAAGTAGCTAAAATAGAAATTTTTGAGAATAAGCCATATCTAATAACTTTCCATGAGAACGGAACACGATAGAACGAACTAAAACAATCCTGTAAGGTATAACATTTAAATATCGAAACGAATGTTAAATAATTTTGCGCTCTTTAAATTTACGATCTATTAACCAACATATACGCGTGTTCCAACAACATCGCAAACCACACGTAGGACATTTACGAAGCGTTCCCAACCGCACGGTTAAAAGGTTAACATTCCCCGTGTTCCGCCGTTTATACGCGGTTGAACAAGATACTGAAATGTCATTGTTTGAGGAGCACGTGTAGCAAAGTGCAATAAAGCTTACACGATCCCCGTGTGCCACGACTATTGATCCAGCTGCGGTGACATTTCGTAAATGACTGAGATATAGAGACTGGTCGCGCGACTTCCGTACGTCGACGACCCTCTCCGTCTCATAGAGACACCGAATGGAACGGGAACTGAGGTCGCCACCCACATCGTCGAAAGCGCTTCTCTGATCTATAGATAGCTTTCTAAGTAAGCTCTGAAAGCGTGCCGTGCCAGTGGGCGAACCACTTCCATAACACGAGAATACACGCGCCTGATTTCGTTGTGCAACCACCATAGCAGGGATCCTTAGGTGAAACACCTCGTGGCTAGGCTTTGTGTATTGATAATGTGACAGTGTGCATGTAACTTCAAACGGCCATGTTACGTAGGTCCTATGGAATTATTTCTTTTACAATTTTATTACAAATTCAACGCTTCAGTTTCTAGCGCGTTCTTTCGTTTGGCTATCCACTTAAGGTTCTTGGGTCAAAGGAGACACAGTTTTTATTACCAGCACGCCATATGAATCTGGACAATGAACATTTAATGCGATGTTAAGGGAACATGAGTTCAATAAGAGTAAAAGTTATTAGAAAAATAAGAAAGCGATGGGTCAAAAATGACCCGAAGACCGCACTAGGGTTGATCTTAGCACAACTGATGCTGCTATCAATATGTGGACCGTACAGTAAATATACGGTACTGTCAATTTAAAAAGCTTTTAATTTTAACAATTGACACGTTTATCAGCATTTTCATTAGCCTTTCTTTGAAGTGTGCCATCCAACACTATCTTTGAAATACAGTAACGCAGAATTACCCTTAAATTATACACCAAATACACACCTAAGTTTGCTCTCACATCTACAGTACCTATGTACACACTTGAAACTAAAGTTGTCCCACGTTCACTACCACTCTGAAGCACGGAACTCCCCTAACGAGCGCCGAAACGCGTCGCGGCAAGCCAACATCATCGAACGCCGACAAATTTAATAACCCTAATGAACTTCTTGCCCCATGTAGCATGCCTCGCGACGTCGCAATCATGAGGTTAGAGAGGCGGCATGTCTTTCTACGGCAAAAAACAGCCAGGCTCTTTCTTATCTTCCACGACGATTAGGACATTAATCTTTCGGAGCACAGAAAACGCGTCCCGAGGGGAGGCTTCGAGGCTTATTGGCCGCGGAGAATCCACGGAGCGATGCAGATCCACGGTCGATCCGCATTCTCGGGGTTCGTGGCGCCGTGGGCCTCTGCGCGCGTTCTGCATTCGTCCTGTACAGGACTATAGCGTCGTAGCATCTGGTCGATACGAAATACCAAAGCCCCGGTTGTTCCTCCGTTCCGAAGCTTCTTCCCTCCACCGTCATCCCTCTCTCTCTCTCTCTCTCTATTCGTTGCGCCTCTTTCAACGCTGACGCACCGTGTCCTCCGCGTCTCCGGTCTCTTCTTCTACAGAGGAGAGACTCGCAGCAAGAAGGATGTCGTTGCGCAATTATTTTCGCATGATTCCGATCGTCTGGCCAGATTAAGACCGCTGATGGAACGCAGCGTCGCGTTCGTTTGCGATCCGCGTTACACAGCAGCAAAACCGAATTCCCGAAGATGGGGCCGGTACGTGCGACTATGCGCCGCGACGCATGAGGCCAAGACGGTGCGTATATACGATTCACAAGTTCGGTCCACCGGTGGACCGAATCTCTTTGCCACAGAGCAGACCGAGGGGAACGAAGACGTATTAAACAGATGAAGAAGTCCGAAAGGGAGAACGATGGACGGGTCGTGTTCTCAGACGTCTGTCGATCATCGACCATCGTTTTTGCAGAGGGGCGTGAGCGGCCACCGGCCTGATGCCGACCCATGTTCCGGTTATTAGCCGAGTTATGAATGATATTGCGCGGATATTGGCCGCGCGATCGACGGCGCGGTTGATAATTGACGTTATTAAGGTTTTTTCGCGAATCCGCCTGGGAAATATTCCGTTCGGGTTAAATGCAATTATGGCGGGCGTGAGGGGTATACGTGTATCTGATAATCGTAATTGAAAAGTTCGCAGCAAGAAGTGAACGGTTTCTAGTGTATTAATTTTTCGGGAAATAATCAAAATTGGGGTAATGAGATATTTTTATGACGCATGTTTAAAGTATTTTAGTGGCTTAATAGCTGTATGTTAAGCAAACGTGCGTTTTCTCTGTAGCTGGGGTGAATTTTAAAAATTTGGAGCAGCCCCTGTTTTTTAAACAAATTATATAAAAATCCTTGTCTCATGAAACGACAATCTACACAATTTTTGGAAAGATAGGGTGCATCCTTATAAGTACAGACTGAATTATTGGATCTGCCTCTTTTTCACATCAATCTATTCAGAATTCCTTTTTACATTCAATCTATATAACCTACAGCTCTCTTTCAGTAATTTATAGAGCTTCCTCCTTTCTGCAGCAATGTCTTTGATCTCCCCATAAAAATCATTTAAAATAAGAGACGTGGTAAGTAAACGAATGGGCAAGTACTTATGACAAGCAATGCATATCGGTGAACCAATCCTTGCAATGAAATTTCCAAGTAAAACATGACTTCCTCGAACAAGACACCTATTAATTAAACATCCTCGTTCCCAGCTAACGAAAGGGACCAATTTTGCTCGTTAAACACGAGTGGAATTTCATAGAAAGCTACGAAATGATGTTCGTGTTCGATAGGACTGATTTCAAGTCGGTCTGACTGCTCGTTTCTCTGAAAATTCCTTCTCGTTTACATGCCAAAGGGCTAATTAGCGAGGTTCGTGCGTACATAACGTTATTGATCCTCGTTCGCGTATCCAGAGACGTGGCTGCGTGTAAAACTAGTCGAAGGGCGACTTCCGCCAACCGGAGGCGCCGTCGGTTTCCTTTTCAGGCAACACCAAGCTCTGAACTCTTCTCGTACATATATATATAGCTATATACATCTCTACGACTCGTCTGTCCGTCTGTTCCTTGGATATTTTACAACAGAATCGCTTGCAACTTCTCCCGTGTATGTGCTTCCCTTCTATATTCTCTACTCGACGTGAGCTGCCGACCTCTTCGTTCCACTTTGCTTCGCGAGGAGCAAAACGGTCGTATATACGATGGAAATTCTACGAGAGGAGGAGAATATAAGGAGCACTGGTTACGAACCCTCCGGGGACGTGTCGATCCCGTTCCTCTTCTTGTCCCCACATTTCTTCGGAACTTTTCATCGACGCCGTGCGCTTCTCGGAACCGTGTAAACTGTTCGATCGAATGTTTGATCCCCTTTCATCAGCGTTCAGCTTTCTTTTTGCGGTGGAAAATTGAGAGGGAGTGGCTGGTGTTGTTCGAGGTGTTACTCGATTTTAAGATTTAACACTGGGTAAAGAGTATGAGTGCAACGTTAAGTTAATTTAATCGTCGAAAATGAAACTGACAAATTGTCTTGCTATTTTTAGGATATTATTATTATTGTTTTTAATACAGTTCAAATGTAGACTGTTTTCTGTATTAAAAAATCTTGTGTGTATGTGGACTAATTCAAGTTGTCCTGAGTCATATGTGGCTCAGCGGACAGTGAACGTGTTAAGTATGGTAGGTGCAGATAAGTATCTGCATGCGAACTATTCATAGTCGCATATTTTTCTCAAACTTGCAGAATGTGTCGATAGTTTCTCGCGATTAAACTGTGTCATTTTAACTTTCTATTTATTAACGTTACGACAAATTGAATGAAATGATTTGTATTTGCGCTCATTTTTTAGCTGAAGAAATGCTCTTTTTAAGTATGTATATAAACTTTTATTTATTGTTAATACTTGGAACTTTTCTCTGTGGAACATTAAAAAAAACTACATCGGCCACTCTGAAAATAACTAAAACTCCTAAAACAATCCCGAACCACTTCCAAAACAAAACTCTCCAACAACCTGTGCACTCCAAAGCTTCAAACTAACTTCTAAAAGCCACAAAACCCTCGTAAAAATCCCACGAGGCAGCAATTCTTTCTGCTCTTGCCCACGTGTCGGAGGTATAGTCGGTGAAAGCAATATAGTGAGCTCGTAAAATCCGTTAGGCGTCAAAGTACACATAATCCAACAGTCGAAACAATTCGAAGGAGACAATGATTTTGTAACATTTTGACTTTTTAAAAATTCGAGAAGAGAACTGAAAGTTACATTTATATCCTCCAAAAAAATTGCAATTTTTCATCGAATAGTTACCTCTAAAAAAAATTCCCAAACTTTTGCCCTACTTTTGAACGCCTCAAGGTAGAGTAACCCTTTAATACTTGAATTTACAACCTCGCCGTATCGCTTTCACCAGCTATACCAGGAGGAGCACGAGCTTTCACGATGTTCCAAGGTAACTGAACACGAGATAACTGATGAGACAGGCGATGCAACCGCGTCGGCGGTTCCCGTCAAACGAAAACTTACGACTACGGCACGATAAAAGAAACGAAAGGAAAAAAGAAGGGAAAAAAATGCAAAGT